CCAACCGTCGAAACAACACAAACGTGTGTGAGTCAATAACCATGTAAGTGTGTGTGTGTGTGTGTGTGTGTGTGTGTGTGTGTGTGTGTTTCTCTTTATATCAGCTCAGCACAGCAGGTGTCTTGCTCCAGTACATTGCTGCAGCTACTGAAGCTGAATGTATCGCAGACACCCTGGGAAATATAAGCCAATACTGTGAGTGTGTGTGAGTGTGTGTGTGTGTGTGTGTGTGACAGTGTGTGTCTGAGTGTGTGTGTGAGGAGGAGAGAGCAATACAAACTGAGAGTATAGAGGCCGACCAGGGGTGAAACAGACGATTGCAAGAGGTGAGAAAGGATTTAACTGGGGGGGGGTGACAGGACTACATCTGCAGGGACTATTCAGACTCTGATATGACAAGAGGGCGTCCAGACCAGACCTCAGTCCCTCTGCAGCCGTCCGTCTGTCCGTCCCTCTGTCCCTCTGTCCCGCTGTCTGAAGAACATCTGCTCAGTTTTCTCCTGATCACTTATGAAGAATTGGAAATCTAGTGTGCCTAAATACCGAAACACACAGAACCGCTCTGACCATCAGCTCCAACCCCGGATTTTCACCGCATGCAGAACGGCTCCGATCCGGAACAGCGGCGGTTTTTGCCGTCCACCAGATCTGTTTATAAGGTGAATTAGTAGATTACGGACAGCAGGAATCGTGAGAACTCACAAGAACCCACAGATTCTCGTTCAATCGCGCGATAACAAGTTGTCTCTCTAAAGACAGACACATAGACATATAAGCAGTAGATTGTGTCCTTCCAGAGGAGGAAATCTACTTCTAGACTTCTAGAATCAGCATCTCCTCATCCATGGTGTCATCGGGGTGAAATGACGTCTAAAAACCTTTCACTTGTTCGTCTCCGCCCGTTTGCATGGTGTGAAATACGATCCTCCTGAAACACGGAGTGTTTTATTTTGAAAAGAAGCCGGATGTTTTATTTTGTGTCTGTGCCCGACTTCCTTTCCAGCACGGGTTAATCTGTGCTGAATTTATCCGCCATGCTCCGGCGTCCGGAAAAAATAGAACTCTTGTGATCAGCTGAGGAGTCCGGCGATCCGCAGAGGAACGGAAAGAAGTCGGTGTAAATTGACACGTTAACTTGAATGGTTACGATCAGCTACGATCGGAGGATACGACCTTTTAGGAGACGATCAGGATGAAGGTGGAGGTTAGTGGTAAACAACGCCATTCTATGTCTCCTCCATCCTGATTGGTTGTGAGGCAGATGCTGCTCCCCTGTGTCGTTCAGGAGCCCAAACAAAGTTAGCGTGCTACAATATCGGACAGTAGAAACCAACCAGAAAGTTCGGAAAATTGTCTGAATCCTCCTTTGGCCACGACTGCCGACACAAGCAAGAAAACAAAGTAAATACCGGAGACTCTGGAGGAATAACGGGCGCTTAAAACGGAGGTAGACCGGACAAGAGCTAAAAAGACGGGTCAACGTAAACGAAGGCGGAGCCTCCACCCTCGTCTCTGCAGCAGTCCTCCAGGTTCTGGTCTTATCAGAGTCCTTGAATATTAATCCACATGAGTCCCCAGACAGACTCAGGACTAAGGAGGACCTCAATAATGCAGAACCTGGTCTGCTGCAGCGCTGCGCGTGTGTGTGTGTGTTAGTGTGTGTGTGTGTGTGTGTGTGTGTGTGTGTGTGTTTGGCAAGTCTCTTGTAGAGATGTCAGCACAGCAGGAGGCCAGTGTTCCTGTCTTTATTAATTACTACTTGGCACACACACACACACACACACGCACACACGCACAAACACACACACAAACACACACTCACACACACACACACACACACACAGTTTTACATCGTCTTTAACACACATCTGTTTCCATCTCCACCTTTATCTTTATAGTATGTCACATTTCACTTCTGCACACACACACACACACACACACACACACACACACACACACACACACACACACACACACACACACACACACACACACACACACACACACACACAGAGTCTGCTGTTAATGCGTCCTTGTTTCCCCTCTCTAAGACCCGACAGGAAGTACTCCTCACCACCACAGACTGTTTAAAGGGACAGAGAGAGGAGAAAGGAGAGAGGAGGTGCAGACAGGTTTCTCCTCCACACCTGTGAAGTTCAGAGATGGTCCTCTGATGTTCCTCTGATGTTCCTCTGATGTTCTTCTTCTGTTAAACCCTCACAGGAGGATTTCCTGAGAGCCCTCTGACCCGTCTCAGCGCCTCATCACTCATTAATGTGGAGTTGGCGCCGGTCCAGAGCGTGGCGCCTGGCTCTCCTTAGCAGCGTTTGTTTTACTCCCAGACTGCTCTGCTGCATCAACGCTCATCCTCCTCCTCCTCATCATCATCATCATCATCATCATCACTATAAAAAGTCAAAAGACCGGTTCCTCGTTTTAATGAGCCTCATCATCTGCCCGCCATTCAAGGACAGAGAGGGAGCGCCGCCGCCAAGCCAAGCCTCCGTGCCAGAAACACAAAACGGAACAAAACAACAGAGCCAGGGGCCGGGCGCTCGCCAACGGGTTCACCTTTCAGGACTTCACGCCACGCAGAGGGGACGTTAGGACGCTGCCATTAAGGTGAGTGATAAGCCACCCAGCTGAGCCCAGGAGCGCGACTGTGAGCGAGCGGCTGAACGCCAAAACAACGACAGACAGGACCGCTGGATCAGGGTCTGAGGATCTGATATGAGGATCTATGAGAGATGACATCGACCTTTTAGGAGACGATCAGGATGAAGGTGGAGATTAGGGGTGAGGGGCTCAAATCCTCCAGATCTCACACAAACATGGACTCTGGTTTGGAAAACAACAGCTGAGAGCCACAGCAAGAAACGCCGCCGCCAACGCCAACGATGATGATGTCACAGGTTAGCTGGAGTCTAACCAAGGTCAGCCCTCACAGCTCGGCTGGTTCCTCTGAGACTAACAGGACCTGACAGAGACCGAACCCTGTGGGGTCAGATCTCTGCAGGTCTGTGAGCGCAGGTACACACACACTAACTAAAACACACACACACACACACACACTAAAACACACACAGACGGAGGGCTAAATCTCAGCTCTGTTCACACACACACAGAAGGAGTGGTTTGAAACATGAAGTCCTCCTCAGGTCCGGTTCAGTCCTGATCCGGTCCGGCTGTGATGGTTCTCCGTCTGGTTCCTCTCTCTCCTCCGTGGTCCTGGACCTCCAGACTCTCTTCCTTTAACGTAGAGGGTCATCATCTCAAACATCAGAGTCCAGGGCGCCACAGTGGGACGGGTGTTGAATAAGGGACCGTCAATAAATTAGCGGTCGATGTTCTCAGATTTAAAGAGGCTTCGCTCGTCTTAAAGACATCACGCCGCCGCTCTTTCCTCCATTAAGGAGTCAGCTGGCGAATTAAAGAGGACGTGTGTGTGTGAGAGTGAGATCAGATCAGCTGATCCACATCCAGAGGTGGTCTGGCTCACCTTGGGTTTGGACCGGAGCCAACTGTTGATGTAATCAAGATGAGCAGAATCACCTCATCAGACCTCCTCCTGCAGCCTCAGTTTACCCATGAGTCTCTGCAGCAGACGGCCCCGCCCCCTCTGGGTGACCTTAATACTGATGATTCACTCAGGCGGGTTCGGTCCGGATTAGATCACACTCAGACCAGATCCAGATCCAGACAGGGAGCAGAGGCCTGGTGGTCACTAAGGTGGTTTCTGGAGCTTCCGCAGACTGCCTCCAGTGGACGCTCAGGGAACTGCAGTTTTCCGTGTTTTAACTCTACAGGATGCAATTTTTTTTTTTTGTAAGATGGTAGGTAAAGGTCCCGCCTCCTTCGCCTCTGATTGGCTGTGAAACGTCATCACATGCTCCAGCCGAGCGCGGACTGTTGGCTCTGTACATCGAACAGAACCTTATCGCAACTCTGAATATCCAAACCCGACGGATGTTTCACAGCCATGAGGAATAACCAATCGGAGCCCAGCACTAGCCAATCAGAGGTCAGGAGGGTGGGACCTTCCCCTACCATTCTATAAAAAAAACATGCCTACAGGATTCACTTTTCTTCTTCTCTTAGTTTAATGGTAGTTATCATCCAGCTGAAGAGTGCATCACTGCCACCTACTGGACTGAGGTGGAACCAGGAACCAGGTCCCAACAGCTCGGATCCTCATTCAGTTTCAAAAGAGTAAAAATGTAAAGAAACATCAAACCTGTTTCAGATTAAACTCAGTTTTCATCTTTAGACTCGATGTTCTGAGAGGAGGAAGTGGCGTCTGAGCAGGAGGAGAAGGAGGAGCAGGAGGAGCAGGAGGAGTTTCAGTCATGATGATAAAAACAGCTCCTGTGATCAGATCAATCCAACATGTTCCAGATGGTTCCACAGAACAAACAGAACTGAGGACAACATGGCAGGGAGGACGAAGAGGACACCTCTGAACATGAGTGACCTCATCATCATCCTCATCCTCATCCTCATCATCGTCATCATCATCCTGCCCACCCGCTCTCTCTGACTGTTTCAGAACCTTCAGGGTCCACACACTGACTCACCCTGACCTCTGCACTCACACATGCAGCCGACCCAAAATGACCCAGAACCTCCCAGGAAGCCTCTGTGTGTGTGTGTGAGTTGGGGGGGTACATGGTTCTAGAGGTTCTGCAGCATTCATGGACTCAGAGAAGAACCAGAACCTGTGAGTTAGAACCAACACAGAGAGGTCCAAACACTGCAGGCATGCTGGGATCAATAACCCACTGAGGCTGAAAACGAGGTGTGGACAAACACACGCACACACACAAACAAACACACACACACACACACACACACACACACACACACACACACACACACACACACACACACACACACAGCTGCTGTCAGGTTAATGTTTATTGTGACGTACAGAAAACAAAAAAGGATGAAAGAGAACGAGGGATGAAAGAAGAGAGAGAGAGAGACAGAGAGAGAGAGAGAGA